CACCACCTGCTCCCCAAAACCATTGAAATAAACATTACAAAAGATAGGTCTAGAGTGAGGCCAACTGCTGAGTCTTGGGAAGGAAGTGAGGGGCAGGTGGGCTTGTCCTGGGGCCCATCTCAGGCCCCTGGGGGCTGAAGAGAGCCAGGGACTAAGAGGTAAGAACCAGACACAGGCTCCAGCGAGACCCCAAGAAATTAGGGGGCCTGCAGGGGAGCCGGGGGGTGAGGGTGGTGGGCAGGGAGATCTCTGGGGGGACAGCAATGTGGGGTGAGGGTGGGAGGGGAACCCAAGAAGCTGCTGTCTCCTACGTCAGGTCCTAGGCAGAGGGCCCCTGGGACAGCCCAGGGCTGCAGGTGAGCCGCTGGGAGGGAACTGGGTCAGGTGTAAGGAAACCGGCAGAGCCACCCCAGGGCGGCTGCCCCAGCTGGGGGGTGGGGGTGGGGGTTGCTGGAGGAGGGAGTGCGATCAAGGGGCTAGCTGGAGTCCCCTCAACTTGGCCTCAGCCTCCTGCTGTTACCCACCCCCCTTGCCAAAGGCCACCTAGCTGGCCCTGAAGGGGGACAGGTGGGTCTGTCCCAAGGCCAGTTCCTTTCTCTCAATCACAGTGGCTCTGGCTGCCCTCGGAGTTTGTCCTAGGAAGTGGGTGCAGGGCCTGGATCCAGACAGGAGGGGCCCGCAGGTGGGTTTTAGGATTCGGGAAAGGGAGGGGAGAGTGGGGAAACTGCTGTGGCCACCCTCTAGTCCCCCAGGGGCGAGGGCTCACTCACAGTTCCCAGCAGAGGAGGAGGAATGAAGGCCCCAGGCTCCTTCCAGTCCCGGCTGCCAGCTCAGGTGCGGCGCCTCCAGGGCTGCTTGTATAAGAAGGTGCAGCGGCCTGGCTGGAACTTCCCTCCCAGCGGCCAATGCTCCAGCAACAGGGGCGGGCTCCAGGCCAGCTCCACCTGCCTGGGCCTTCCCACCCTGGGCGGGGATGGTGACCACACCCTGAAATCCCAGAGTCAGGACCACAACCACGGGAAGAGTCCCAGAGTCAGGATCACAGCCATGGGAAGAGTTTCAGAGTCCCCTTTATTGCACTGGCTTTGGCCTGGCTTCCCAGGGCTCCCTGAGTGGCCTCTTTGGGGGAGGGGAGGAGTCATCCCTGCTTACCTCCCCTGTCTCTCTCTCTCCCCTCTCAGAAGGGTTTGCTTCTGCCCTCTCCTGGGCAGCAAGAGAACAGGAGATGCCCCTCTCCTGGGACATCAACTCTTCCACAGCAGGGCTGGGCACACAGGATGCTCAGAAGAAGGAGCACATGCCTGCCTTCGGCTTGTACTGTTCTTGCCGAGGGGAACGTGGTGGCCAATCCTAAAGGCCACCAGGCTGAAACTGAACCTGGTGGCCAGGGTGGGGCTTTGGGTCAGGGGGCCTGGAACTGTCCTGTGGACACAGCCACTTCCTGGCTGTGTGAGCTTCATCCTGTCACTAAACCTCCCTGAACCTCTGTACTCAGGGCAAATGGAGGTGTCCGTGCCTGCCTTCCAAGCTGCTGGGAGCTTAACACTGGGTATAAGCCTTTGAGCAAGAGCCCACAGGATTCTTAGCCCCTTTGGGACTGCGTCTTGCCACACTTTGTCCCCAGTGTCCAGAATAGTGACCAGCCCACCCCAAGTGCTCAATATGTGCGACTAGAGTGCATGGGGAGTGGCAAGGCTGTAAAACACCATCCACGGCAGGAACTCCTCTGTTCTGGGGGTCCCTGGCCCTGCCCGGTAGCCTGCCCTAAGCCCTGAGCTGCTGCCTGACAGACGGGTGTCCCCATACACTCCCCAGTGCCCCCATGGCATGCCATCCCCACATCCTGCCCCCTCTGTTCTGCACCCACTTTCTTCTGAGATCCCTTCTCAGCAACGACCTCCTCCCCATCTTCAGGCTCCCCATCTCCTGCCCACCCACCTGAACGTGGGGACCACGTTTCCATCCATGACCTACACCCCCTCTGGCCACACTGTGTCTCTCCTCCTGCCCGTTGTCCACACGCTCAAATTGCACACTCACTTCTCTCTTGACCACTGCTCTCTGCCTTCAGCACCCCCCGACCAGCTGAGCTTCTAGTGGCCACTTCGGATAAGTGTCATATGGCCTTTCTCTCACGTGACCTTCCTGTGCGTCCTTCTTCTGGACACTTCTTGGCCTCTGAGCCAGCACTCTCACGCTTCTCTTCCCTTTGTCTGGCACCTAAATCCAGGCGGCCCCATCTTTTCTCCACCCTGCTCCTCCCCAAGTCATCCCCCCCTCAGTAAGCAGCACCACTGTCTGCCCACGAGTGCCAGCCGGGAATCTAAAACTCAACCCGATTTCCCTCCCACCTCCCTCGGCCCCCAGGCCCTGCCCATCCACCTCCCAAACCTCTGTTACCACCACATGCCCACGAGACCACCAAGAGCGTCGGCCGTGCTTGAAGCCCTGGCCACAGGGATTTTTTTCTCAGTCCCACTCCTGTCTCTGCTAAAAGCCTCACAGCGGCTGCAGGATAATGTGCACATTCTTGGCAAGCGCCCATGAGGCCCTGCCGGGGTGGGTACCCACTCCCAACCCCATGCTCCACTCTGAGCCCCGGCCCCATGTCTTCTCTTGCTGGCCTCCTATCCAAGTGGGTGAGTCCCCTAGGACCGTGGCTGTGCCTCAGTCCTCTCTAGATCCAAAGGCTTACCAGGGCTTGGCAGGTATTTAGCTAGTTCATGCCTAATGAACAAGTGAATGGGCCTGGAGGGTCATGGTGAGTAAATGCCACCTGGGACAACTAAGAGCAGGGGTGGGGTTCCCTTGCAGGGCAGGAGCAACTCCCTACCCTGGACTTTGATGGGGGTGGAGCACCAGGGAGACCCACAGCTGCCTCTTGAATAAAGCTCCGTGCAGGGAATGTGGTTTTATTGCACCCATCGCACAGGGAAGGAAACAGGACCAGAGATGCAAGGTGACTTGTGGAGGTCACACAGTGAATTAGGGCCACAAGCGGGGCCAGGGAGCTGCCTGTCTCTGGCCAATGTCCTAGCTCCCCCCTGGGTAAGTCCCCTACCCCCATCACCGGTGCCCCTCCCCCCAGATGCCACTGCAACTGGGAACCTGCTGGGAGCTGGAGGAAGGATGGGCAGAGGGGCCACCAGGCAGGCGCTCTGGCAGCCGGGGTGATCCGTCTTCTCAGGAGATGTCAGGACCTGGGCAGTCTCCTTCCTCTTTTGTCCTGGGGCCTTGGGTGTTGGCCCTTGGGCGGACCTATAGAGCCCTGGCTCATAGGTAAAGGGCTGCCACACCTCTGACCTCCTCAACACACACTCTCTGTGCACTCTGTCTGAGCCAGACCCTGGGCCAGATGCGAGGTTCAAAGAGCAAGGCCATTCCCCCACCTCCAGGGACTCCGTTCAGATGGGCAGGCACCCTCCCACCGTCACCAGGACAGAGAATGTGGAGAGGCCCGGAAGTGCGCCACCGGGAGCCTGCGCAGGAAACGGAGGGGTGCTGCGAGGGAAGAGCGCTGGGATCCAACCACCCATCCCAGAGAAGCTGCCTGGCCGGCTGGCAGGGGCGCGAGACAGGAACCCGCCGCGGTGCCCAGCCCCGCCCGCCGGATGCCGTTCTCCACTCTGGCCACAAGGCGGCGGGCTGCCGCTGCAGAAGCCCGAGGGAAGGCGGCGGAGACCCAGGGAAGCCAAACGAGGACGACCCAGTCTGGGTGGACTGCCTGCTGCTGCCAAGCGCTTCGAAGCCTTACCTCGTTTAAGGCTCACAACCCTAATCCTTAAGTATTGTGCTTACACCAGAGGACGCTGAGCCTGGGGGAGCGTCCTCGCGTGTAAGTGGCTGTCAGCAGCTGGCAGGTGACCCAGCAGAGTCCAGTTCCCCTTTCCCTAGTCTCAAAACCTGAGCTCTGCATTGTAACCAGAGGGGCAGAGGGAAGACCCAGCAGCGGGCCTACGGAGGGGTGTCTCCTTCGTCTGGGCATCCCAGACTCAGTCCTGGCACACGGTGGGCATCAATGTTCATGGTAATGACATCAGGTACAGTGAAAGAAATCAGGGGCTCCCAAGGTTCAGAGGTCATCTGTCCACCCCCTCCCTTTGGGCTGAAGAACAAACCGAGACCCTGAGAGAGGAAGGGAACTGCCTCTAGATCATCACACGGCCGATGGCAGATGGCAGAACGGTTCTGAGCATCCTTTTTTCCCCTCGAGCTGCCCCTCCCTGAAAAGTTCCTAAAGTTCAAAATGTCAGGGTCGCCCAGAGTGTTCTGAGGATGTAAGAAGTGCTCTATTTTCGATTTCCCGGATTAACACAACTGGACTCTGAAGAGGGGGGAAAAACAACCTCACTTAACCGGACGTCTTTCTGAAACAAACGCATCAAGAGTTCTTTTAAAAAAGGAACTGAAATGCTGGAAGCACCCTGAAAGGGAAGCAGACGCCTGACTTTCACATCCACCCTCTCATCTGACCCCAGGATCCTGGGAGACTGGCAAGGCGGTTGAGCAGGGGCAGGCCAGCAACCCCCCGTTCTGTGCCCAGATGCGCTTCGGAATACGCAACAGCTGGGACTTGGAAAGATAATATGGGGCACACACCTGCTATAGGTTATATAACCTCCCAGCAGGGCTTGGGGCAGCAGCAGACCATCGAGCTCATTTCCTTTTCTGCAGCGAAACATGAATATTTACACAAGTGCGATAAATAAAGACCATCAGCAGCCTCACATCAGTTCAAGCGCAATTTTGCCACCAATCGGATTACGAAAAACCTCTGGACTTTCAGGGAACTTTGGGAATTGCTGATGAGGGACTGGGGGCCTGCACCGCTCGTTTCGCGGTTGGGGAGAGGGCGCTCATCCGCAGTCTTCAGACAGAGGTGGGCGTCGTGCCCGACGCTGAGCGGAGCGGGTCTCCTCGCGCCCCGGCTCCGTGCGGACGCGGTCGCCAGCGCGCCTCCCTGCCTCCGAGTCCCCCCGTCCCCGCTCCCGGGGTGGTACCTGCTCCGCGCTCTCCTCCCGCGGCGGGCCGTGCACGTCCTGGATGACCTCGTAGACGTTCTCTGAGTCGCTGCGCGCCAGGGGCCGCGGGCATACCCAGGAGCCCGCCACGCTGCAGGCCTTGAAGCTGCCGCTGCTTCCTAGGAGGCCGCAGGGAGGCGAGACGGCGGCGCGCGCCAGGTCGTCCAGGGACTGCGCTGGCCGCACAGGCGCCGCGGGCCGCAGGTACAGGCAGGCGGGCAGGCCGGGCGCCAGGCTGCGGCGCTGGGTCGCGGCGCCGCGTTGCGCAGGGCCGCACAAGGAGCTGGCTCCGCCTCGGGGCTCCGCGGGGGCGCCGTCGGGGCCCGCGGCCGCTGCTGCGCTCACAAACCGGTAGTCATAGGCCAGCGGCTCCGGGGCCGCGGGGCCTGGGTGGGGACCTGGCGGCGGGGCGGCGGCAGGGTTGCCCAGCGCGGGCAGCTCGCGCACGTACTGCGCGGGCAGGTAGAAGGGGCGGCCACCAGGCTCACGCCGCACGTGCCACCAGTGCTCGGTGCTGCGCCGCAGCAGCCGGTAGCGCTCATTGGGCCGGATGGCCACGCGGCGCCCGTCCTTGCCGGTGTACTCGAAGGGGTGCTCCACCAGCACGTACACGTCCCCCTCCACGTCCGCCGCCATCGCGGCCGCGGCGTTTTCCTGCAGGCAACAAGAAGGAGGGCCGCGGAGGTCAAGACCACCTAGCCCGGGATAGCCCCGCACTCGGGGACAGACTTAGGTTCGAGTCCCGATCCTGCACTCGCCGTTCGCCTTCGGGCCTCAGTTTTCCCATCTCTAAAATGGCAACTTGCATAAAATCACATCTAAGGCTTCCATTCTTACACTCAGTGCTGGAATTAGGACAACCCCTTCGTTCCGTGGGGTTGATTATAAGATTTGGCCCTTGCTTCAGTCCTGCGGTGGGGAGATTGTGAGTAGTCTTGGTCCAAATCGACTACGAGGGAAGCCTTGGCTTTAAAACAAGGGGTGATTGCCTGCTCTAAGGTTGACACCACGCTTGCTTAATAGTTGACTGAGCCTTATTTTTCCCGTCAGTTAAGTAGGAAGAACACCCCATTTCCTGCCGCTACCCGGCCCTGTCCCACCTGGACGCCTCTCGCCCTCAGAGAATCCACAGAGGGTCTGGTAGCACTGCCTCCCTCCAGGAGCTTGCGCCCCGACCCCCTGGTCAGAGTTGGGATGCGGGCTCTGCAGGGGGCCCAGCGAACAGCTCTACCTGGGGGCTGTCCCTGCCCCGCTTAGTCCAAGGGCCTTGATGTAGAGGCCTCTGCTGCCAATGCGGGGGAACCGGTTCTCTCGGTTTCTCTTTCCTTCCCCAGCTGCATCACCGCAGACGTGAGCCCGAGCCCGGCCCGCCCAGCCCGGCCCGCGCCGCCCCCTGCTCTCTGGCTCTCACGCCGCCTCCTGAGAAAGGCCCCTGCCCCTGCGGCCTGCCCACCTGCCCTGTGACCTCTACAGTGTCCCCACGAGAGTGGCTCCTGGAGAATGCACTCTGCGACAGTGACTATCAGTGCGGAGTCCCAGAGCGGGGCCCCCCAAAGCTCTCTGGAGTGGTGGGCACATGCCCCGCTCCCGCCCCGGCTCCCGGGTGTCAGGGATGGGGGAGAGCCTAACTAAATCTGCCTGCGCCCCTCCAGCAAAGCCATGAGTCGGTGGTCTTCTCCGGAAGTGCATGGCCCCTCCAAACTCCCACACTGACCACACTTCCTCCTGCCCCCTAAGCTGGCCAGGACCCGGGGCCAGGAGACCGCCGCTTGCCGAGGCAGAGGGGCCGAAGGAGCAGGGTCCAACCGGGGCCTCTGCAGGGCTCCTTCGACACTTTGTCAAGCGTTCCTCGACGAGGAAAGGGAGTAAACTGAGTCACTAAGCTAATTGGGCCCTGGAGGCGGGGTCATCGAGCTGCCCAGAGCTGAGCCAACAAACCCCAAGGAGGACACTCCCCCAGCGCCCCTTCCCCCTGGACCCCGCAGCGCACTCACGTCGGCTGGGCGGGCCTCAGGGAGCCCATGGGCTGGGTGGGCGGAGCCGGCGGTGGCAGCAGGTTAGGCCCCTACCATCGCCCTGGGCGGGGTTTCCAGGGGCGAGGCCGGAGAGGCTGCGCGGAACCGGAGCTGGCAAATGGAGCAAAGAGGGACAGGGACGCTAAGGAGTGCTGTCACCGATACCCAAAGCAGCCGTGTCTGGGCGGGGCGAGGAGGAGCCTGAATGCCTCTGCTGGGGACCTCGGGGGGCATTGGGACGAGGCCCAGAGCAGAAGGCCGGGACCCGGAGCCGCGACGGCTGCGTCTGAAGGGGCACTGGCGGGTCGTGAGTGGAGCCCAAGGAGAGTGGGACCGCCCCTGCTCCGCCCTCCCCCTGCCCCCCTCCCCCCCCCCCCCCCCGATTGCTGTCTCGGAGTCCCTGCGTCCCTCCCGTGCGCGGCTCTGGGAATGCCGGGCTGGGGCTGGTTGTCTCGTGCGGGCGTTCCCGTTCCCGGGGAGGTCATTTGCACCCTGAATCACCCACTTCGAGCCCTTCCAACAGGATTGCAGACCCGCCCGCTCCGGGCCCACCTCCTCCCTCACCAGGGCCTTTCCCGAGGCATCCCGGCCAGGCCTGGAAAAACTCCGAGCGGGATTCCCAGCACAGGGACGCCCACTGGAGCTCCGTGTCTCGGGCTGGATAAGAAGGGGACCCGGCCTCGGTTCCTTCCCCGACCCTGGGGAAACACAGAGAAGGGGAGGGATTGGGGGAGCAGGGAGGATCCCTGGAGCGCGAGAGCGCACCAGGAGCCAGGAGGTCCCCTGCATCCACTGCCCAAGCTACAGCGGCGTCAACGCCTGGGTCGGCGCTGGGAGCCTGGGCCTGCTCTCCTCCCGCCCCCAGATGGAGGGCAGCCCTTCGCCTACCTTCTCCTCCCCGTGGGATGCGGCCCGCGCAGCTCCCGCCCCAGCACGGAGACAAGGGGAGCAGGCGCGCGGAGCTACCGGGTGCGGACCCGCCACCTGCCGCACCCTTCCCTCCCCCACCCTGCCCCTTTCCCTACCCCCACCCCACCTCCCACCCCAAATCCCGCTCGGCGCCCCACTCCTGACCCTGCTTGCCCGGGCACCTCGGGGCGTCCGCTCGCCGGCCTCGCCTCCACTTGCCCCGGCAGGCGCGCGTGGGCTCGGCGTCCCGCGCTCCCTCCTCGACCGTGCGACTCCCGCGCTGCCGGGTTTCCTGTTCAACAATATAACCAGGGAGGCACCGGCGGAGAGCGCCCGGCAGAACTTCCTCCCGGACTGGGGCTGGGCTGTGGTTGCGAGAGACAATCCCCGGTGTCCTGGCTTCCTGTCCCCTCTGGGCCGGGCCAGCGCCTGACGAGCAAAGACGCCATCCCCTCCCCTGCACTTCCCGGGATCCTGGGCCACACCTGGCTGTCTCCAGGGAGGAAGAGGCCGCGGGGCTGAGACGGTGGGACTGGGGAGGGCGGGAGCCTCCCCCGTAGCTTCTCCTGGCCAGATTGCCCTCCCACCATCCCCCACCCCCTCTTGATCCTTGTGGGTTAGGGGGGCCACCCTCCAATCCGTCCACAGGGTAAGCTCAGAACCACCTCCAGGAGTCCAGCCCCAGGGTCCTCGCCTTGGGGGTTTTCTGTTTGGGAATTTTCTGCCTCTCTGGACAAGCAGCCTCGCCCTGATCTGAGCCTGCACTTACTCCAGACGTTACAAGCCACAGCCCCAGCAGATCCCCCACCCTCAGGGGCCCCAAGGAACAGTTGTGCCTGTGGACCTGGCTGTGTGTGCCAGGAGCTGGCTGATTCAGGCCAGTGTTCTGGGAGGAAGAGGGACCCGTACCCCAGGCCATGGCCCCTCTTGACACCACCTCCTGGGGGTCCAGGGTTGGGTGGGAAGCTGAATCTGGCCAGGCTCATTCTGGAACTCCCTTACCTCTCTATCTTTGCCTCTGCTAGGCATTGCCCACCCGTGAGTCCCCACTTCCTCTGAGAATCTCAGTGTGTCTGAGGCTTGGTGGCACCTTGGGACCCTCCAGGGTAGGCACACAGCAGAACTTGGCATTGGTCTTTGGTGCCTGACATGCTTAGAAAATATCTTCTCTCCCTCCCTACCTTTTAGGTGCCTCCCCACCTGCAGCACAGCCAGGCAGCGCTGGCACTGGCGATGGTCTTTGGTGGGGTCAGGCTGGTATGATGCCCCACTCTGCTGCTTGGCGGCTGGTAGGCCTTGGGAGCTCTGCCTTATCTCGGTAGCTCAGTTTTCTTTCCTATCAACGGGATAGTAACACCCACTTCGCTGGATTATTGCGAGGATTAAATGAGGTCCACTAAGCAGAGCTTACCACATGCCCAGCGCACACAATATATCAGCTATTTTTTTTTGTTTGTTTGTTTTTGTTTTTGTTTTTTGAGACGGAGTCTCGCTCTGTCGCCCAGGCTGGAGTGCAGTGGCGCGATCTCAGCTCACTGCAAGCTCCGCCTCCCGGGTTCCCGCCATTCTCCTGCCTCAGCCTCCTGAGTAGCTGGGACTACAGGCGCCCGCCACCGCGCCCGGCTAATTTTTTGTATTTTTAGTAGAGACGGGGTTTCACCGTGGTCTCGATCTCCTGACCTTGTGATCCGCCCGCCTCGGCCTCTCAAAGTGCTGGGATTACAGGCGTGAGCCACCGCGCCCGGCCAGCTATTTTTTTTTTTTAAGACGGAGTCTCACTGTCGCCCAGGCTGGAGTGCAGCAGCGCGATCTCCGCTCACTGCAACCTCCGCCTCCGGGTTCAAGTGGTTCTCCTGCCTCAGCTTCCTCAGTAGCTGAGATTACAGGCATGCACCATCATGCCCAGCTAATTTTTGTATTTTTGTAGAGACGGGGTTTCACCATGTTGGCCAGGCTGGTCTTGAACTCCTGACCTTGGATGATCCAACCTCCTCAGCCTCCCAAAATGCTGGGATTACAGGTGTGAGCCACCATGCCTGGCTATATCAGCTATTATGACTACTTATATTATGTGATAAACTCTTGGGGGTTGGATTGGAATCTCCAAACCGCCCATCCTCCTTCAGGCAGAAGAGGAGAAGGGGAAGTCCCAGCTACTCGGGAGGCTGAGGCAGGAGCATCGCTTGAACCCGGGAAGTGGAGGTTGCAGTGAGCCAAGATCACGCCACTGCACTCCAGCCTGGGCATCAGAGTGAGACTCTGTATCAAAAAAAAAAAAAAAAAAAAAAGAGGGGAGAAAGGGATACAGGTACCCTCAGAGGCGCTTTGCTGAGGCTGGAGAGGGCCTGAGCCCACTGGCAGGGCAGCACCAGGTCACATGCCATGGCCCTCCACTGGGCCTCCCTCCCCCAGTTTCTCTTCTCTGGGCCTACCATCTACTGTCCTGGAGGGAGGTGAGGCCCTTGGGGGAAGGTAGGGCACCTAGATGGGCAGAGGGTGCCACCTTGTAATCTGAAAAGGACCTTCAAGGACAGGAAATCACAGACCTGAATGTTGTCTGTTTCCATCCCATTTTACTGCAACCTGATTTCCCTGAGAATTAGTCTGTTTCCTGCTCCTGTTCTTAAAATGGACAGCAGTGTGGGTCTCCCCTTGGAGGGATCCCCTGGGCTTCTCCTGGAACTTCTGAGGAAGGTCAGCAGCCAAGTAAAAGTCATTTTGAGCCCTAAAACCATGAGCCCTGAATCGGGGACTCTGCTTAAATAACCCATCTTTCCTGAGCCCCAGCTCTCCTTTATTTCTCCTCTGAGAAATGTCCCCTGTATCCTGAGGTTTCACATGACCCAGTGTCAAGGGTCTGTGCTTTGACATTTAAGTCACAGGAAAAGAAGCCACCGGCATGGGATCAGCTGGAGTTGTTATACAAGTGTGAGTACCCCTCCCCAGAGACCCTGGGCTTGGCAAGGGGGCTTTCTTCCTCTCTTCTCCCTGCCCACTCCTGGCATGCAAGCCCTCTGCCTACAAGTGTTTGTCACGGACCTCCCAAGCCTTCCCCTGTGCCAGGGACTAACAGGAGGGTGGGGGCCCCTGACAGATGGTAACGATGGCTGGTGGTCTCCTCCCCGGCAGTGGCAGTGTTAGAATTCAGAAGCCAGACCAGTGATGAGAAAGATAGGTCTTTACTGCAAAATCATTCAAAACTCACACGGCAGCAATTCCTTCAATACATTGCAAAGACTCCTCAGGGCCAGAGCCCTGCTCACTAGGAACAGTGTATTGCATAAAATAACATTTTAAAAATAGTGTGGGCACTACCTTTCTGCGGGAGGGGAGGCAGGAAGAGTCAACGCATCAGAAAGCACTGGCAGCTTCTGGGGAATGGGCCCCTCAGGGCCTCAACCCTGCTGCCTCCAAGGGCACCTTCAGAGAGAATCCTCACAGGCCCAAGCCCTCCTCAGGCCAGGCTCCTCCCCACTCAGGGATGGGGCAATGAGGGTTCTGACTAGGCCGGGCTTGTGGTGGAGCGTTAATGTGGGCCATGGCGGTGCGTAAACCCAGCTCCTGGCTTAGGAGGCGTTGGCGTCCGGGCACAGGTGTGCGCCATGACCGGGAGAAGCTGTGCGCAGCCTCCACCTGCCTGCCACCACCGCCTCTGTTCTGATGCACAGGGATCCAGCTCCAAGGCTGGGTGGGTGACTCAGCAGCTGATCGCCCCCAGGGAAGGGTGGAGGTGGGCTCATCTCTGACAGTGACATGCGGATCTCCACCTGAGGCCTCAGATTCCAAGCTGAGCGCAGGTAAGACAGCTAGGACTGAGGGCCTGCTGGGTCCAGGAGAGGTGGAGGATGGCGACAGAGAGACCAGCAAACCCACATTTCCCCAAAGCCTGGAGGGTCTGAACATCGCTTTGAAAACAATTCCAGGCTCCCACCCCAGCCTCAAGGCCCCTTCAAAGGCAGTCCTGCTCCAGGGAAGTTCTTCAGTCTCCAGTGTCCTGGCTGGGCAAGTTCAGCGATGCTGTGGGAATTCATGGCTTTGTGAGGCGGCAGCTGCATCCACAGGGCAGCTCCCCGGCACGCCCCGCACAGCTTAGGGCAAAGGACCAGGTCACTTCTCCACAGTGCAGGGCATGGCTGCCTGCCCTCTCTGGGGTCCTGCCTATCTGTGCCCTGGCAGGGGTTAGTCAGGCAGAGTGTGACCCCAGGCACCCACCAAGGTGGGCCTGGAGCATCTGCAGCAGCGCCCCTATCTGTAGAGGGGTGAGGAGGGCACGGGGATAGGGGGTGGGCAAGACGGTGACCCTCCCTAAACCGAGGAGGGCTCAAAGTGCTGACAGTGCTGGTTTCCAGTCATTTCTCCTTCTCCTAATGGGGCCAAGGCCCCCGGCTAGAGAAGAGCTAGGGGCTCTGACGCTGAGAAAGGGGTGTGCTCAGCAGGCGAGACGCACTGGGGTGAGGAGTAAAGAGACGGAGAGGAAGCGGGGTCACCAGGACTGGCCCTGCCCTGCTGAGGGGCGGTTTGGCACTGGCAGTGAGGGCCAAGGAAAGGCACTGGGTGGGCCCACAGGCCCTGTCCCAGCAGTGGCCTGCCCGCCAGCCACCCGCTGCCTCTAGGCCAGGCCTGAGTGGCTCCTGTGCACCCACTGGGGGTGAGAATGTCTTGATTTCTTGGGTGACTCGCGTAGGATCAAGAATAAAAAAATACTTTCTGTTGAAATATGAATGGGAAAAACCCACCTTAAAAAACTAGACCTTTTAATCAGGAATGTGGAATTGAAAATGCTCCCCAAGCCTCCTTTCCACAGTGTTTGGGCAGCCCTAAGAGGGGTGCCGGGACGCTGGTGAGCCAGGGCCTGGTGAGTGAAAGGCCCTGTCTGCCCGGGGACAGGGAGCATCTGGTGGTGGCCACGCCTCCTGCAGCAGAGGGGTGGTGAGGGGGCCAGGGGACATCACAGGGGCTTCCTGGGCTTTCTCTGGAAGGCCGGTGCTCTGGTCACATCTGAGGGTCTTCCTGACAAGGGGACACAGCTGTGACACGGTGAGTATCCTGGGCTGATGGCAAACCCAGCTGGGATGGCTGAGCCACACTCACCCCCGGCCTTCAGAGCGGGGTCAGCAGATGGGCATCAGGCGAAAACATTCTGTTCCTGGTATTTGCGCCGGCGGGCACAGCGGGGGCAGCCCTTCTTCACCACAGCCTGGCAGCTCTGGTGGAAGACGGTCTTGCACTCGGCACACCTGGGGAGAGAGCAGCACACCTGCTGGTGCTGGCTGGGCTGGAGGTTGCCCTGTGGCCACGCTGGCCAGCGCTTTTGACCAGAACCCATGATACGGCTGTGACGTACTGTGTAACCCATGCACGCACACTGTACCTCTCCATTCCGTAACAGGAGATTCTCAAAACAGTGCTTACCCATATGTCACACAATGCACACTGATATTGTCTGTCCTACTACATTTTTTTATAAATGCTGCTTGAGAGTCATTAAAGATTTCTTGCCTGTATTTAAAAAACATTTACTTATTTT